TGTCGCACAGGTCAGGAGGTCCCTGACTCTGGTGCACCAGCCTGCAGAGATGTTCGCCTTCTCCTTAATGTCTTGTTCTGTCTAACAACAACCAGTAATTCATTGTTCCTCAGTTTCGTGGTCCTCCGTGTGTGCGTGCGACCATGTTTGTGTGTGAGTTAATGTGCGAGTGTGTATGCAGCCGCGGAGGAGCTTTGTGTCCAGCCCCTAAATGTGTTGTCAGCTTGCCATGCAGAGTGGGTGGATGTCGTGAGACCCCCTATGTGCGCTTTTCACCACTGTCATCCAAATTCTATTCCACCCACCTTGTTGCTCTCTCTTAGCTTCTTCCACACTAACCCACCATTACCAACACCAGCACAAAACAGCTCTCTTTGTTTTACATTTCTGAAGTTACGCAGTATTCTCTCTGAGTGGCATTGAAGCAGCTGGAGGAATTTCCAACAGGAAAGTGGTATTGCAGCACATTTAGAAGTCCTAATCACACTGGCAGCAGGCTACAGCATGTTAATGTTAAATGTTAAATTATTGCAGTTTTCATTTCAGAGCTGAAACAATGAATCGGTTCATCAATTCGAAATGAATGTGCAACAGTTTTGTTAATCGATTAAACTGATTATGTCATTTAACACAGAAAATATCACTGGTTCCAGATTTAAAAACATGCTGCTTTTCTCCTTTTCAATTGGGTTACCAGCTACCAAAGAAAACAATGACCGCAACTTTAAGGTCAGACTATAAAATGAACAAATATAGAACAATACCTGAATAGAACTTGCTTATAACCAGTTTTTAATGCAATGCAGATGCTTGCAGTGCACCACAGGAGGATGGGATAACATGTAACTTGCTGCACCTACTGAGCTGTTCAAAATGATATTGGATTTTTGCAACAATAGCACTACTGAAGGTTTTCCTGTTGTTTAAAAAAAAGAAACAAAAAAAAGACAACCGAAACAAAAACTTTTCCTACTCCTCCTAAAAATCTCTTCCCTGTACTGCTGACAGAGAGGACATGACAGATTTGTACTGGACAGAGAAGATGCAATAAGTAGCACTAATCTGTGACTCATTCAGAGCATCGCAGTCCACCTCCCCCATCCTACTTCAGTCCCTGTCTGTGTTTCTCTTTCGCTGCCTGTGTCTCTTGTCACTCTTTGTCCTCCACCCTTTTCTCTCTTCACTTGGGACCTGCTGCATTTTCATTAATTCATCCTACACTCCAGCCTCGGGCCAACACAGCAAGTATGAGAGAAGGTGGTTGGGGGAGGTTGGGTGGATGCAGCAGGAAGGGACACATGACGGGAGGGATGGAGGGAGGGGTGCAGAGGCCTCATTAGTGTCTGAAGTGATGGAGGAGAGAGGAGCAGCACTATGAATAGACGTACAGCTCTCAGAGATAAGCCTGAGCTCCTGCTGCGGAGTTAAGCATAACTTTTCAGAGAGACGACAGAGGCCTTGAAGCCGCGGGGCCTTGAAGTGGTGAGGACACCAAAGATTCCTTTTACTTGATTTAAAAGCTGTTTCAAGGACATCCTGCCAGTGCTGGCTGCCCTCCTCCCAGGTTTAGGTCACTGATAATATATACCAGAACGCTTGTGGATGTTTAAACGTAGCCCAGAAGAGGGACAGTGGCTCAGTAGGCAGGCTAATGAATTATCCACACAGACACTGCACAGGGTTGGTAGTTCAATCCTCAGCTCCCCCTGTCCACATGTCAAAGTGTCCTTGAGCAAGACACTGAACCCCAAAATGGCTCCTGATATTCAAGCCAGCACCTTGCTTGGTAGCCTGCTGCTATTGGTGTGTGAATGGTTGAACTAGAGGCAAATTGTAAATTGGCACTTTTATCCAAAGCACTAATTTACCTTTTTATTGTCATCATTGCTGTGGTGCGAAAAGATACATACAGACACGGTACCTGTAGGGCTAACCAATAATGTCTAATGTCTAATTTAAGGTCACCTTGTCCTTCATTCGTTTTTCTTCTGTAATGGTCATATTGTTTTATTTTATTTACAGTCACAATCAAGTAGGGCTGTACATATCGATTATTTTTCAAGTAGATTAATCTAACATTATTTTTTTGATTCGTTTATTCTAAAGAAAGAAAAGTTGGCTATTACTTGATTAACATACCAATTTATCCAAAATAAATATCAAAAACATCAATAAATCTATATTTTATTCAATCACCCTGATGAAGCGCATTAGAATAATGACAATAGCAGCAAATCTTAAAATGAATCAAATTTCCACGTCACTGATGTGTTAATAACAATAACAGACATTTATTAGGCTACTTTACTTAAAACTTTAAATGTTTCTGACATGGATTCATTTCAATATTGAAATTACTTTTAACATGAAGGCGATGAAGAAATACTACGTGTCCTCGTGCTGAGAATGTGCCGTGCTTGTGTGGCGACAGAAAGTAAACACGATTTGCGGTGCTGCCGTCTAGACAAAGTGCTGCGGGATACTTTGGTTTCACGTGTTCATGCTGCTTCACGTATTCGTGGACAGCAGCTGTGCTGCAGTGAAGCTGTTTCCAGTTCAGAGCTCACAGAGCAGCACGTTGTTGAGTGTCTGTCTGAAATACTCCAAACTTTAGACGTTCGAAGGTGCGGTCTTGTAGCTGGAGCTTGTCCGGGATTATCCCACACCGGATGCGTCGCTGCATCCGGTGTGGGATGCGTCGTATTTACGTCGACGAATCGCCCCAGCCCTATTTGTAAGTCATAGTCAACTGAATATCTTATATAATAAGTTTAAGCAATTTGAAGGACAACACCTTGAACTTGAAGGTTTTGATGGGCATTTTTCACTATTTTTGGATAGATATTGCCAGATCAGTCACTAATGACAATAATTGTTGGTTGCACCCCTATTAAAATTTTTTGTGTGGGGACTTTGTACTGCAAGGGTCTGGACATATTATGTGTGTGTATGTTTGTTGTTCTTCCTCATCCCTACTTTATTTCAAATGGACTGCTTGTTTACATTTAATATTTATTATGACTGTACAGTATATCACTGGGAGTTAATCTGTATTACACAGGAAACTTGTTGTTTTGGGTCTTGTGAAGTAGTGATATAGCCACTGCCAGGCTCGGCTCGTCCATCTGCATTGTTGAGTCAGGCACTTGGCAGTTGATTGCCTCCATCATCTGAGTGAAATCTGCCAACTGCCCAGTTGGTCCATTTTATATTGAGAAAATTAATTTAGTGATTTAAAAAAAAACAAAAACTAGCCCGTGTAGCACCAGTTGACAGCTGGGTTGGGCACTCTAGTCCCCTTAGGAGGTTGGGAGCATAGGATGACCAGTGTTCACACTATGAGACAGTGATCACATGGCACCAGGCTTGTTGTTGGTTGGTTAAAGAGTTTTTACACATTTCTGGTGGTGCAACGTGTCGTCTTGGTGAAATAAGTCAAGGGAGAATCGATACACTATGAGGTCTGGGGTGGTGATTGGGCAGCTGGTAATCTTGTTAATGTTTGGTCAGTATGCTCTCAGAATAGGGTTTTAGTGCCACATCATCAAATACAGGCTTCAATCTGTGTACTGTAACGGCAAAAATAAAAAATAATGAACCCTTTGGGAGAATAGAAGGAAGGAAAATGACATTAGATGAAGGACGGAAGGAAGGCTGTTTCTTTGCAGATTGTTTCGCTTTTGTCTAATGTGTGTTGAAGTGTCAGGCCATCGAATCCTTTTAATCCCTTTTAAACTGGCCTGCATTGCCGACCGCATAATGACCTACTTTTATCATTAGCTTTTGTGACTCCTAAACTCATAATGCAGAGCTGTATGAAGGGTTAAATATTTTTTGGAGATTATCCCTTTTTTTCCTCATGTCTTCTTTCTCCCAGGGTCTCCTTATGACTCACCACTGCTGAATTCCCTCAACCAATGAGAATCCAGCTCTCTCTTTGCTGCCTTGCTTGCTTTCTCTTCAATGCAAAGTCAGAAAAATCACTGCTTTCTTTACAAGGCCGTCTTGGTTGCACTGAGAGAGAGAGACAGTGTGTGTTTGTGTGTGCTATCGTCTGAGCAATATTGTTGTGACTGAAGTGTCTTGTGACCACATTGTTTCCATATATTGTCTTTCCCCAAATGTTTTTTAGAATTACCTTCAGTCCTTCTGTTTACCAGAAGCTCCATAAAGATGAGCACATCTTCATCGTTTTTAATCTTAGACGCAGTAGTTTGAACAGTGGCATCACGCCAGTGCTGACATTGGTGATTTTTAATTCGCCATTTGGCAACATTTGACTCTGCATTTTTGTGGATGCTTGCTGTGTTTTTTTCTTCTCCTGATACAATGAAAGCTATCGATGGAGCTCTGCCAGTCCGTTTTGTTTTTCCATATTCAGCAGCTCTCTAGAAAATTCCCTGCCTCTTTACACTTCAGCTGAACATTTTCATCTGTCACAGCAGGCTAGACAAACTTCACTTACAGTAATAAAATTAACAATGTGAACGTTTATGTTCAAGTGTGCCACTCAAATAGGACCCCTAACATTAATACTGACCAGCCTTTGTTTAATGACGTACTTTTCCCACCACTAACTCTGTGGTGAGAAAAGTATGTTGTTAACGTCGTGAAGTCATTGTTAGTCGCTACCCACTGTATATCAGAAGTTTTTGACTGATTCATGTCCCAGTGCTCATTGAAAGAGTTATCCGAGTTCACAAAAGAGAGATTAACCCTCCCTACAGTATGTAATGTCAGTAACCTTACCTTTGGACAGGAAGTGGCTGATTTAAGACATACAATATTACATAGGCACTGTGTTCTTTCATTAAACACAGACTTACACACACAGAACTGTGCTATGACAGAGAAGGAATGGGAAAAGAAGACATGTTTACTTGTTGTTTTTGTCCTTTGTTTTTATTGCATTTCTGTCAGTCACACTGCACAAGTCTAATTGGCCATCTCTCTCTTTCCTTTTTTCATCTCCCTCCCTCCCCATCACTTGTCTTCCTCAGGGGTTTGTGGTTGTTGCGGGGCTCTCAGGCCTCGGTACAAGAGACTGGTAGACAACATCTTCCCAGAAGACCCAGAGGTGAGAAGCTCAAGTGACATATTCTGTTTCTTTAGTAATGCCTTTCCTAACCCAATCAGCTGTGTTTCTTCTCTGAGTTGATAACTATTCCTCTGTCTACTGTGTGATTTGTGTATAGAAGTTGTGTGTATCTTTCTGATGCATTTGTTCAGTTATTGGTAAGGTAGTTGTTATCTTAACACACTTAGTTTTGTATGTTATTAAGTTTAATTTAGACAAGAACAGTGCACAAGGGAATACATTTCAAAAATGTGAGAAGAAATTGTGAGGAATAATGCGCCGTAGAAGATTTATCTGGAAGCTTTCCATCTGTAGTCTCTTTGCAGGTAAATATAAAGTCATGATAATATCTTCAGATAGACTGAGTTAGAGGTGATAAGAAAACTTTAAACCGCCTCCACACCTAACTATCGTCTTCAAAGCTGTTTGGTGTCAAACCACAGACTTCATCTTTGCTACCGTTGTCTCTGATTAACTGAGATCAGATAACGATGAGTCATAGAGAGAATTTATTTGGGTGGAGAAGAAGGAGATGATTTGTTGCCGGGGAAACTTTTCAGAAGTGCCTCTGCTACTGCAGAAACCCAGTTTACCTGTCTGATCTGTGGCCAAAACTGTAATACACGCGACATACCAGTACACACAGACCTCGTTTTCCTGTTTTATGTGTGCATGTGCACCTGCTCATTGTGCTCCCAAAAATGGCTTCTAATTTTGGCTCTAAACCATGTTGGCTGAGACTGTAACTAACGGTATCCCAGCAGCTTGGGAAAAATGAATCCGTCTGATAAGATTTACTCTAAATTGTGCCTCACTGCCTGAGGATGTGAGTGTACACATGTTTTAGAGAAGCAGACAGATGCAGAGCTATCTTACCCTGTGCTAATCTCAAAAACAACCCTCTGATGACAGGAATAAGCCCCTTTTCACCGCAGACGTTTCAACTTGACCTTGCAGGAAAAGCACAGGTACAACTAATGACATTAATGAGGCAACCCATTTAATTTAGGTGATGCTAATGAGTGGGCATACACAATAGCAAGGCAGTGGAACTGGAAAATCTTAAATTGAATAAGGCAGCCATTGTTAATGTTGTTACTTACACCCGTGTGCCTCCTGCAATAATATGTCAAAATATCAGCTGTGAAAACAATTGATGCTATGGACACAGAGCCACAAACAGAACTTCACATTACCTCCAGTGAGGTACTTGACTGAGTGGGCCTTTTTCACGGAAGATGTTGCCAGCTAATTTGATGATGAGATGACCTGTGCCCCGCCTGGAAAGTGAACGAGGGCAGACGGCAGCAGCAGGGGGCAGTGACAAAAAGCTGCAGTCAAGACTGACAGTTTCCAACAGCATTCAGTCAAAATACACGTGGAGAGGAAAGCAGAAAAACAGGACAATCATTTTGATTATAAATCTGTCAGATATTTAGACTGTAAGGGCTTAACACCTGCACAGATGTTATTTCACCAAATGTTTTGTGTTACCCTGAGTCTAGGTTTTGCTCAAAGTTTCTGCCTGTTAAAAAGGAAGTTTTACCTTGCCATTGTTGTTGAATGCTTGCTCATGGTGGGAGTTGTTGGGACTTAATAATAATAATAATATTACAAAAAGTGGGGTCTAGACCTGCTCTATATAAAAAGCGGTCGTCTTATAAAGCCTACATTTTTATGTAGTGCATCGTCCTAGAGCAGATGGCCATGATGCCTCCCAGTGGATGATGCGCAAAGCAACACTGCTTGACACAAGACACCGAAGGGATCACATGAAGCCAACCGAGCGCCACAAATTAAATTAAATCACAATGCCGGCTAAACATTGTGATGCCTGTCAGCCATCAGTGATGGATGATGGCAACGTCTATTTGCCCAGCCCTAATTGACCACAAAACATTTAATCTATTAACTGAATTATCTTTCATAGAGCAGTTTCTTTAAAGTGTTATATTGTTGATTCAACATGTAAACCAATCAGCTCCTAGATCAGGGAAGAGCCAGTTGTCATTATAGTTACATTGTCAGTGCGTCCGGTTGCATGACAGTCTGATTGAGCAAATGGAAATGCTGTGCTACTTAATTTATTGCATGTTTCCGCTCTTGTCTGAATGTAAACGAGATCTCAATGGACTATAGATGTTTTTAGCTCTTTCCTCCCCCTGACTAAACTGAAGAGCAGTGAAATAGGTCAAGGGGGAAAGTAGGAGGTGAAACTTGGTGATCTAGTTGTACTCTTACAGTTTGGGCTTTGAGGAGAAGTACGCTTTTCAGTACACACACTACTGCATTAGCTCAGGGATGTTTATGGCATAGTTGGGGAATAGAAAACGAATGACCTATTCACTGTGATATTAAAATGCCACTGAAGTTTTTTCTCAGTTGAAGCAAACACAACCTTGTTGTCAGTCTTAACCAGCTGCCTCTTTGTTCAGTGGACACACCAGCCACTGATGCAAGAGCGATATTTTGGGTGAACTGCTTCTTTAGTATTCTAAACCATACAAATGAGATCCTAAAACTTTTTTATTTTTTCTGTCTTGCCCCCCCCTCCCGCTCTTTCTTGTCACTCTCTTAGGATGGGCTGGTGAAGGCCAACATGGAGAAGCTGACATTCTACGCCCTGTCAGCTCCAGAGAAGCTCGACCGTATCGGAGCCTACCTCTCTGAGAGATTGTCAAGAGATGTGGCCAGACACAGATACGGGTGTGCATCACCAGTCGGTCGCCATTCAAAACAATTCAGCTGTCTCTGCCCTGACAAATACTGTCTGCACATTTTGTGAATTATTTATTCTCTGCCACACATAAACTGATTAAAACGTAGCACAGTTAAAGCTAATACATCATGGGAAATTTGAGGTTGTCTTGCTATGAAGTAGTAGGAAAAGTGGTGGCATTTACACCAAGTGTGTTCTTGACACTTTTCCTTCTGTATACTTAAAAATGATTTATTGTGCACAAAGTAGCCGGGTAGTTATTTTGTTTTAGCCATGTTGTTTTTATACAAAAACAACATGGCTGGTGTAGGGTTATCGACGGTGATGTTTCCGTACACTCTGTACTCACTTTAGATGCCACAGAAGTTGTTGTCTTTTATGACTCATGACTAGGACGCTCTTCGATGATTCTCGCCAGTGGCAGCCTGTACAGATTACATTTACACTTGGCCGGCTGAAATCTGTTCAGTGTGCGTGTCTCCAGAGTTTGTCTGGCAGAGCTTATCCTATTTTGATTCCCGCTGATGCGTGTAGTTTGACATATAGAATATATGCCTTTGCTTTATTATTATCTATGTGATATTGAGACACAGATAATATTTTCCTACAGGGTTAGTGGTCTCATACAGATGTTTCTTGTGTCTCTTTCCTCTCCTCGTCAGGTATGTGTGCATTGCCATGGAAGCCCTGGACCAGCTGCTGATGGCCTGCCACTGTCAGAGCATCAACCTGTTTGTGGAGAGTTTCCTCAAGATGGTGCGCAAACTGCTGGAGTCAGACAAACCAAACCTGCAGATCCTAGGAACCAACTCTGTGAGTTTCCAATATTATATTACTAGTTTAAAGAGTCTGTCAGATGTTTTATAGTTTTGCAGCTATGAAAACAATAAACAAATGAAACCCTGCACATTAGAAAACTGGTTGCTTAGCTCCTCCTTTTATGATAAGCATTTAGCATTTTGTTTAGCTAGGAATATATTTCTTTGTGGAAGAAAAACAGTGTGAAAAGGTATCTACAACAAACATCACTGTAAAAACTGACGAACATTAAAAATAAGCAAATCGAGTGATGTATTTAACTTTATAAATCTTGAGGCACTACCCAGCTTTGTTTAACTTGATGTCTGCATGGTTTCAGTTAAGGTAGTTTTTCGAAGCATATACAGTTTCAGCCAAACAAACAAGTTTGCCAAGTGAAACTTTTTGTCACAAGAAACATAAAAAAGCTAAGACAGCTTGTTCTGATACAGATGTACATAAATACCCACTTCCTTGAACATTTGCTAATGTGTGCCTAATGTGACTTAGTGTCTAAGCTTTTCTGTCACATCAAATTCTACCCATTTCAGTGGATTTAGAGGTATTATGTAATCAAAAGTCGACAGGGCGCATTTACTTTTCTGAAGTGACGTCACAAAGTAAAAGATGTTAACCTTGACAGGAGTACTGCATTAGTATCTGGGGGAGATCAGAGAGTGATGGGCAGAGGGAGTGGGTGTGATGAACATCCTCTGATGTGGGAATCAGCTATCAGCGCTGCCGGGTGGGTCAGCAGAGGACACACAAAGGAAATCAAATTAGCTGCAGACCACAAGCTCTGCAGTCGTCTAAACAGATTGACGTGACACGCCAGCCTCTCGCTCATAATCTTCATGCTTTCTGTCTGTGTGTGAGTGTGTATCTAGAACAAATGCAAGGCCATGCGCTGATCCACTCAGATACACCACACACACGGACAAACATCACTGATGTGTAATTAATTAGGCATTATAGTGCTACTTGCCACAATTCATAGTAAAGGAAAATTGCCTTGTGTGCTAATTTAACCTTTGCATTCAGAGTCCTTGTTGTTGAACATGAAGATATTGATTGCAATTAGTTTCACTGTAATTGTTCAGCCCATAAAGACACTAAGGGGTGACAAAACCTTAAGCCTCCTCACATGTAGAACTATTCATGTACTCTCTTTCAGTGCAAACAGCTACCATCTTAGCGTGCACTGTGTGGCTCACCTTAAGCAGAACAGTGTCAGGGCGAGGTGAAAGGAGTGGATTAGAGAGTTTATCACCACATGACTCAAGCCTGGCCAGGTTTTCTTGCACTCCATTTCACTGACCTAAAACCTTGCACTGCAGAGCCCTTTCTAATACAAGCCCACTCTTCAACACAGGAGTACCTGAGTTAATGTTTCTGTCAGCTTGCTGTTATTTTTTATGGATGGCTCTGCGCTAGAAAAGTTTCTCCTGGTGTTGCCTTTGGTTGCAACAGAAACGTTTTTAATCTCAGCTCGCCACTGCCTATGGTTTTAGACGCTGTTCATAAAGCTTTCAATCAGATGAAGAGTTTGTTTCAGCAGACAGTTGAAACATTGATACCTTGAAGCTGGCAGTAATTCTGGTCAACTGCAGCAATTTACTGCAGCAGCCGAGCAGCTTCACAAGAGCAGTTATGGGTTCACTTCATTTAATTTGCTCAAGGGTACTTCATTTAATTTCAAAACCACTCCAAACACTCATTTTGTACACAGAAAATAGATTCTTTAAATGTTCGTTTTATACAGTAACTCTTCTCTTTTTATCCTTGAATTTTGGGTAACTGAAACAATCCGGCGTTAATTTGTGAATGAGACATTTATGTACTTTATTTACCATCTGCTTTACTGAATATTCATTACATAATTCTTGCTTCAGGTAGTATCCTTTCTATCTTGATTTATAAAAAAATTCCAGTTCATAATTTATTTAGTGGAGAATGTTGTGAAGCTAAATGTCAATGTGTTTTAAATGGTGACATTTACTGGCCCAGTGGGAGAGCCCACCCCCCCACACTGCCCTGTGCTTTTCACTTCTAATGAGATGTTATGGCGCTATGGTTCGACTTTAATTTAGTAGATATTCTCTGTGGGGATTTAGGGTTATGTCATTAAAGAATTTTTAATCAAATTGAAATAAACTCTCAGCAGACTTGTTACTATAAAGCTCTTGAGTTGTCTCGTTTGACCTGAAAATGTATTTTATTTTATTCCCTCTTCCTTCCATCTCAGTTTGTGAAGTTTGCCAACATAGAAGAGGATACACCGTCGTACCACCGCAGTTATGACTTCTTTGTGTCGCGCTTCAGTGAGATGTGCCACTCCAGCTACGAGGACCCTGACATCCGCACCAAGTGAGTGGACAGATGTTTGATTGCGCTAGAGGAAGAATTATTCAGTAACCGCTCATTTTAGACTCCTTCAGGAAGTCTTTTTTTAGACTACCGCTGCCCTTGGACATTTTTTCTTATCTCCTTAGTTAAATCCTTGTTTGATGTAACCTTGTTGTCATCTGCTGAAAATATACAAAGTGACATCTTTGAAGAGTCAAATATAGCTTTGCAGAATTCAAGGCTAACAGCCAAACAGTGAGGGAGACTAAAAACCAGACCAAACCAAAAATATGATTTCCTAAATATAGCCATCCATTAATAGATCCAGTTACCAGTTGGATGATTTCTGATGTCTGCGACTGTTTCTGCCAGGATCCGCATGGCAGGTATCAAGGGCCTGCAGGGTGTGGTGAGGAAGACTGTGAACGATGAGCTGCAGGCCAACATCTGGGACCCTCAGCACATGGACAAGATCGTCCCCTCTCTGCTTTTCAACCTGCAGAGTGGTGAGCGCACAGAAAGGTAAGAGGAAAAAAGAGGAAAATGTCAACTGATTGGGTTTTTGCGTGTTGCTGTTCATCCAGACCTGTTAACGGGAATTTCTACTTTGATAATATCCAGATGATTTAGGCATACTGCCACTTGCCATAGCCCAGAGGATTTGGGGTCAGTTCATCATTTGTCTGCATAATTTTTTTCCTCACTCAGGATTTTCTTCATATGGTTTATAAGATCATATTTGTGATTATGTGGATTACGTAGAAAATGCATGGAAGATTTCACCTACTAATAGACTGTAAAATTAAGTTCTTCCATTAAGTTTAACAGCCGGTAGTAAACATTAGGTACTGTAGTATATTAGCCTTTTATAGTTTTTGTATTGGTGAACATGTCTTACACTTCAACCATGTCCAGTTCCCCTTGATTTTAAAGAGATGGTATTATGCTCATTTTCAGGTACCAGAACAGGTTTACATGGTTTAATTTTCAAAAAACACCATATCTTTCTCATACTGTACATTGCTGCAGGTCCTCTTTTCACCCTATGTGTTGTACGCGCCGCTCTTGAGCTACAGAGTGATGCATCTTACTTGTATAAAATCTTTGTTGGGAGTTGCACATGTGCAGTTCCCAGGTAAGGACTACTAGCCAATCAGAAGCAGAGAAGGGCGGGTCGTAAGAAACAAGGTAGTGTGATCCAAATCAAAGCTGCTTCAGACTGCGACCGTAACCTAGCAGATGGTATAAGTTACTCACAAGTCCACAACCACACAACATCATTGTTCCACATCTTAACATTAGGACTAAACGTTGAACTGTTGCCGGTGTTCTGACGATCTATGCTGCCTTGCTGAAAAATGCTACCATAGCGCTAATCGATAGACACGATTCTACTCGGCCCTGCTCTGTTTTCCATTGCAGATAGTACCCAGAGATAGTACGTAGCTTGTCGTCATAGTGACGCCACACACAACTGCCGTGACGTAATGTTCAATGCGACACACACCAGCGATCCACACAGCTTTTAAAATATATAGAGTCTACTGTTAAAACGTTTCAACATTACTCAGAATGTAAAGACAGATAAGCAGTATGAAAACCTTCCAGCTGTGTTTTCCTCTGCTGTTGTTGCTGCAGTGGTCTGTGTGACGGCGGGAGCAGAGGGCTCTGTGAGCGGGCGGCTGGCCGGCCTCGCCAGCTCCTCCCGCGGGTTGGCACAGGCTTCCCCCAAAGCCACTTGCGGAGCTGTCAATATTCAAAATCTACACAGCTGATTTCTCACCTCAAAACTTCTCAGAAGTGGATTTAGTGATGAAATTCCATATGAAAACTGTAAAATATTAAACTTTCTGTTGCTGGCCTCTGTCTGGTGCAGCGATGATGATGCAGTGAAGAGTGAATATTCTCTCTGACCAATCAGCAGTCTGTCATGTTTTCACGTTACATTTTAGTATCCCTCAGCTCGCTTGGAACCTCGATGGAGGTGAGGTGATATGAAAAAAGTACCCGGAAGCAGCTACAGCTACAGGTGCAACATTTCTACAATGGAAAACTAAACAAGGGCGAGTCCAGCCAAAGGGCCTCCGCTCAGACTAGCTTGGTTTGAGGGCGTGCCTGACCCCGCTAGCCACTTGGCAAGCTTTACGTAAAGGAAGCGAAGGGCTGGACTACAAACGAGCTGTTTTCAAGCAGTTCAGAGCAGAGTTTTCTGTGGGAGATGGCAAGGCAAGGCAAGTTTATTTGTATAGCACATTTCAACAACGAGGTAATTCAAAGTGCTTTACATAAAACATAAAAGCAACAGGGAAATATATAAAAAAAAAAAGATGGGAACTCCCTTTGGGCTGAGCTTTTTCACTTTTCAAACCTGTTACATGCACAAAAAAGATATATAACTCAATAAAGGAGAGGGAAAAAGCATAATACCACCTCTTTAACCCACCTTGGATAACTCTGACCTGGATGACTGAGAAACATTGCAGTTTAAACATTGCAGTTTAATCCAGGTCACAATGGTCCCGGTGTTACTGTGTCATCCTCACACAACAGTCCAGGCTGTGCCTGCATGTGGTGAGAAAGTTGATGACCCAAAATGGGTCAGTGTTGACCCGCCATGCCTCGGTCACACAGTCCAGAGCCACTGTGTTGTAGTCGACTGGTGCTCTTTGTCTTACGTTAGGCCATATTTGTCCTGGCAGTTTTGTCAGCCGTCACCCACGTCATTCATCATCATTGTCATCACTGAGTGAACCAACTGACAGCTCTGGTTCCCACCTGCAGCATCCAAGGACAAGCGTATGAAGGGGAGAGAGCATGAATAGAAATAGTGCAATGGGTGATGGAGGATAAAAGCATCACACAAGCATTGAGAGCTTGCCAGTGAGAGAGTTGCAGAGTCTCCCTCGCTTGGCAGCATTCCACATACTGGAATTCACTTTGACGTCGATGCTGAGACGTGAATGTTAGGGAACCAAAGGGGGAGGGCAGCAAGGAGAACATTGGAAGGTTGGGTGTACGTAGATAATAAGCAGATAAGCAGAGTGATGGGAATGGGGAGGTCATTGGAAGAGAGGGGAAGATGGACAGAGACAGACGCACTTCAACAGAGAGACACATTTCCCTCTCAGCTTCCCTTCGCTCGGTGTGTGTTATGCTGACTGCCCCCGCTGTGCAACCTCCAGTCCTCCCCACACTGAGCTTAGCCACAGCAGTCAGTGCAGAGTCTAATTAAACTCACAGATGGTATATTTTTCTCTACATTAATCCCCACGCACAAGTTCATTTAAAGATCAACTTCAGGCACAGCAAAGTCTTCTGACAGTTTAGCCTGATATCTTGTAGAGTTTATTTCTGGAGAAAAAACAATTGTGTGCCAAATGGCAGCCCCTGTATCCGGGAGATATTGGCTTCATTTTTGTACAGTGGGAGGAAGCGGAGATGCATCATACATCTTTACATACAGTCTACGGTTGTACCTCAAGGTTATACCAGCATGATTTGATTTGTATTAATGTCGTGTGAAGGTGCCTGCAAAGTCTTTATGTTCCTGAAGCTAAACATTTCAACAACAGGAGCTTAGAACTCACCTGAGTTTTCCACATTTGCAGTGAGTTTGTACCGTTAAAGTTAAAGCTGTGTATCAATCCTGTACATTCTTTCCGCAGTTTTGGTCTTGGGAAAAAGATTTCAGTGAATTGTGAGGAGCCACTGAGAGACAGGAAGCCACATGTCCTCCACATCAGCAGCTGGCAAGATGAAAGAGTTAGGTAGTTAGTTAGTTAATAAATAATGCCATCATTGCTGGACCACCCGAGGCCAGCCATGACCAAGATAGAGTTATTATGATGGAGGTTTTAACTATGCATGAGGACAAAGAAAGGCTGGACCTGGTGTAGGTGCCTACACGCACTCGCACACATATCTACACACAGACGTGTCCCCCATGGTGATTACAGATGTGCAGGACACAAATGTGTACCCACATGAGGGCCAACACAGTCACTTAATTTTCACACTGCAGACAAACTGCAGGGGGAATAGTCAGGAGTGTAGGCTGCAGTGACACAGCAGTCTAGAGAGCTTTTGGTTTAAAATTGATTTATAATGTTATTGAATCAAATTGATTTCAAACTCTGGCCTCTTCTCTTCCTTCTCTCTCTGACTGTCTGTACCTCCCTCCCTCCCTCCCCGTCCTTGCCTCCTCCCTGATCTTTCCTCTCCTCTCCTTCTTTTCTGCTTTCTCACCTGCATCGCTCCCCACCAGCCGCTCCCCCTCTCCGCTGCAGGCATCGGAGAAGGAGAAGGAAAGCCCAGTGGAGCTGACAGAGCGCTGCTTCAGGGAGCTCCTGGGACGAGCTGCCTATGGCAACATCAAGAATGCAGTCACACCCGTGCTGATGTAAGATAGCCAAACTCTTCTATGTTCAAGATGGATGCTTTTTTGTGATTTGTCCTTGACTGATTGACTAAACCTGAAGGAAGGATGCGTCTCAGTGCTATGTTGTAGCATTTCTCATCTGTCCACCGATTGGCCCTAGGGGGCGCGACAAGGTCAATGCAAGGTTATATAGTTGTTTCGGACTAGATGTGAGTGCATGGTTTGCAGATGGGACATTTAAATTTATATTTAAATTACTGCACTTATGTTGAGGTCTGCCTTGCAAGGTTGAAATTTTAGTTATTTTCTGACAAGATATTGCAGAAACATTTATTCGCAACTCTATTGTGCTTCTAAGGTTTTTTGATGTTTTCATTTAACTGTGGATGTCTCTGAGCCTGGTCCTCTGTGATTAGTGTTGTCTTTTTAGTTGTCAGTCTCTCTTTCCATCTTTCGCTTCCTCTGTCTGTCTGAATCAATTCAGCTCTATTCAGCTCTCTTTTTATCTGTCTCAGCCGAACCCTTTCACTGCATGGCTCACATGTCTGTGTCTGTCTGAGCCCTAGATATTAACGCCCATTCCTTTTTTGTATTGAATTGACTTGAATTTTTTTGTTTGTCGTGTATCCACCTATTCTTTGCCCCTCTTGCCATCATTTCATACATCTAAGCTAGTGTCCTTCAATTGCACTGAAGTTGTTGGTATGGTGGGAGTAGCATGCTGACCATGAGGTACATTTTTAGTTTAAGGTTAAGTCTTAAATATCTGCTCAGGAATACTGTAGATAGAATATGCCAGCCAGTATTTATATGTGCATCATGTGCCTGCAGGAATACATTTTTGTATTTATACAGTTGATGCAACTTGATATAACAATATGAAATGCCAATGAAAATACAAAGTAGGAAGTTAAAGAGGTCATATTATTCTCATTAAGTTTCATAATTGTATTTAGGGATTGTACCAGACTAATGGTTTAATTTTCAAAAAACACTGTATTTGTTTGTCATACTGCACAGTGCTGCAGCTCCTCTTTTCACCCTGTGTGTTTTACAGTCCGTTTAAGCTACCGAGTGAAGCATCTCACTTCTAAAAGATTTTTGTTGGGAGTTGCACATGCGCAGTACCTAGCTAAAGACTACTAGCCAATCAGAGGCAAGGCAAGTTATTTGTTATAGCACATTTCAACAATAAGTCATTTCAAAGTGATTTCCATAAAACATGAAATTATAAAAAAAGACATTTTAATACAAATTTTAGATACAGTGAAATAGAAAATAAAAACAGGTTAATTTACCTGGAATACCTATTTGTTCACCCATAATTCTTACTGTTTTGACAGATGATCTTCATAATTTCAGAAGCAGAGTAGTGCAGGCCCTGACAAGCAAATTAGTGTGATCCAAAACAAAGCTGCTTCAGGCAGTAACCATGCCGAAACACAGGCAGAACAACCCAAGCCAGCTTCATAACCTAAACTGGAGCAAGACGTTTCAGAGTGTTAAGAAATTTATTTGTAACAAATTTATCTTTCATATGAAACATTTTAACTGTGCACCGTCTCTACATCACAGTATAAACTTTGTGTCCATTGACTGCCTGGGAGGGTATCTAACATTATTTTAGTCTCAGATGTAGTTGTACTTGTGGAAGCTGCTCGACAATTCCGTGTAGTATAAAGTGATGCTGACAGGTTAGGGAAGTAAAGACTGGACTACAATCTAGCTGTTTTCAGGGAGTTCAGGGCCCCATTTCAGAAAGTGGGATTAGTGAAAATTCTGAGTATGTTAAGCCTGAGATGAGGGAAACTCTGGGATTTCTTTTTTTGAGAGCGATATCAGATAAACCTTAGATCAGTAAGTCCGGCAACTGATGCTGTGAACCTAATCTCCTCCCGAGGAGGTTAGGTTCTATGTCTGTCTTTAGGTACTATAACACTGTGACTCTGGACAATGGCTACATTACTGCAGTGATCACTGTTTAAATCTGCATAAAACTGATCAATAAACTACAAACATCCTGAACTAAATGCTTTAATTATTGATTGAGGACTGTAAACAGTGTGGTACATCATAATACATGTTTGGTTGTGCATCCATATATTTTTATCACATAAGGAACCTTCCCGTGCTCCGTTTTTCTGTTAAGAACTACAACATTCCTAAATGTAAAAGAACACATCTGGAGTCTTGATGTTGGGTCATTATGAGGCACTATACGTTTGCTGTCTATCCCTTGCTGCTCTCCATCACTACTGGCACTGTATAATCACGTCTTCTGTATCCTCCCCATCCCTCTCCTCCTGTCTGTGTTCCCCCAGGCACTTAGATAACCACTCTCTATGGGAGGGGAAGACCTTTGCAGTGCGTTGCTTCAAAATCATCATGTACTCCATTCAGGTGAGTGATACAGTGCCTACATATCCAGCAAAGACCTCTCCGTCACCCCTTTTTCCTCTCTTTCAATGTGTTCACCTAAAATCCAGGACAAAATGAAATCCTGAATCTTTTTGTTTGATTTACACTGTACCATGTTTTTAGGTTTTTTGTATCTTTGTTTTACCTGTTGTCTTTAGAAAAGAGATGTTTGAAGATTGCTTTTGGGCATCAACCCTTCTCCTCCATAGTTGTGATTCATTTTGGATCTGATTGAAAAAGGCAGTCTGTTATTTCCAGTTATCTCCAAAGCTTTTAGTTACCTACCTGGTTGAATGACTCACTCTCATTTTCTTTCTCTACCAATTCTGTTTCACTCACTTTCTTTCTGCAATTTTCATGTTTGTTATTTTTTATCTGGTTTCATTCATTCCTTATCTCCTTCTTTCTTAGTCGCAGCACTCTCACTTGGTAATCCAGCAGCTTCTCGGCCACCTGGATGCCAACAGCAAGAATTCAGCCACAGTGCGAGCTGGGATAGTGGAAGTCTTGCTGGAGGCAGCTGCCATCGCTGCCAGCGGCTCTGTAGGTAAGAGAACTTACACCGTAAACACATCTGTCACCTGCCCAGCATGGTGTTTTTGAACACCACAGCTTTTACCTTATTTTTACACAGTTTACGGGCTAGACACAGCAACCACCCTTACATTATCACTGACCTCCATTCTGCTTTCTATACAAAGTAGAACATATTAATATACATGTGCACCAGTACCCCAAATGCCTCACTAGTGCCTGACAAGACCTCTGCAATCTGACCAAACTCTGACATTACACCTAGAATTTCCATAGACTTTCAAAGGTTATGCGGACGTCATGTGCATATGGCGTTGGTGATGTGTTTTTTTGACATTGAGGTGTAACATTAACACGTAAACACTCATACGCCACACAGGTGTGGTGTTGAGTGTGGCATGTTCTAGTTACATGTAGAGGCTTTATTCCATAGAGATAGAGGGGCATGGCACATATCAGAGGCTGCCTGCTGCCTTTAGACGCTGCAGGGATTTCATGAATTGAAGGAGAAGCTTTTCATACAGTTTAAAACATCTGTGGACAGCAGGCACAGTAAGAATCACCCATATTCATTCTGAGATCAATGCAGAGTGATTTACTGACTTTTTTTGTGCCGGTTTTGATTAATTGATATAAACAATTTATACTTTAAGCATTAGTTAAGCATATCTGTTGTAGCAGCACATCTGCAGCATTACAATTAACTACTACCATCGTTTTAATGTCATTTTGGTTACAACAAACTGAATTCCAGTCTGGATCATGAAATAGTGATCCTATGGTAGCCTACACTCTACGGGTGAAAACGAAATTACATCACATTAGTTAGATAACAGAAAAGTCGTTATAGTTTAGCTGTATACTACATATTACACAATAATGACACAAGCTGCAGAACGAATGGTCAATCTTTATCTTTATTTCTGGATAAATACAGCCTTCTTAGGAGACTCCATTGTAGCTTCACTCAACACCAAACCTGCTTCTACATCTAACTAGGTTAGGTGGAGTGCACGTTAAGCAGCCAGCTACAAATTTGAGGTACTGGTACACACATAGTATATTGATATTTTCCAACCCTCATAGCTTTCTGATTTGTACTAACCCTGGTTAATGGTATGTTGTGATGCTGAAAAAACGAGAAGGCAAACTCTTCTACTGGCAATTGGAAAGGAGTCTGATGCTTATTTTTAGCAGGTTTATGATAAAAAAATGGCATATCTGCGCTAATTTTGGTGTAAAAAGGGTATAAGGTACCAGCTGGCACATTGTGAGGGTGATCAGATTCATGATACATCAGATCAATTTTAATCTCTAGCCTTCTGATTATTCACTTTTTGTGTATGCAGGCCCCACAGTGTTGGAGGTGTTTAACACCCTGCTGCGGCAGCTCCGTCTGAGCGTGGACTACGAGTTGACTGGATCCTACGATGGCAGCACCAACATCGGCACCAAGATCATCAAAGCACATGAGGAGAGGCAGCTGCAGGAGGCTGTTATCAGGACCATCGGTGAGTCTGTGTGTGGGTATGTGTGGTGTGGGATGTTTTGCAAGACAGGCTCGTGGATTGGATCAAATTTTTGTGGTGCTTATGTTTATCTCACTTGTGTCTGAGTTTATGCCGTGTGTCTACAGACTAGTGCTAATTTCTCTTTTGTTTTCCTTTGCTGCAAATCCTCCTCTCATCCATCTCTCTGTCCACTCTTTCTCTTTCAGGTTCATTTGCCAACACTCTACCAACATACCAGAGGTCAGAGGTCATGCTCTTTATCATGGGCAAGATCCCTGTCCCTGGGGTTCACCCGGCTCTGCCCTCCACAGGCTCTGGGTGAGTTACTCACAAATCTCACAAAACACATGTTCGCTTTCTGCAGCTTATGCCCAGGACACACACATGCACACAAAACTGAATCAATCCTTCAACCAGCAAATCTGTGTAGACCTGAATGTTTGTCACTATAAAGGTTTTAATGTGTTTTACTTTGCTTTCATCTCCAGGCCTGAGGGTACCAGGATGATTCAGGTCATGTTGCTTAAGTCCTTGGTGCAGGTACATTTTCAACCATGCATTATTATTAACTTTATATAGTTTTAAAGCAGGAGATGCAAACACAGATGGTGATGATCACCAGTTTTATTTTTAATCAAATGTGAAATCAGAGTCTGTCCTTTTGAACTTATGCATTTTATCAGTTTAAGTAATGAGTGTGTTTATCCCAGTGCTGTAACTGTAGAAAAGGAGGTGACACTTCACCTCTAAATAACTTTAGTCAATCAAACTTTAAATCTGTGTACAGCGCTTGAGAAAAATTATTTTCTATTAACCATGTATGTTTTTGCAGTACTCCGTAGGGTCTAAGAATTCTTCCATCTTCTTGACATTCTTTAATCTTTTAATCTCTCTGCATGGCTTCACATTTGTCTTTCCGTGATCTAAGGAATGTTTGCCTAAGCAAGGGCTACTTTTCTGGTGATGTAATTTTTTACCAAACCCTATATATACACTTACGAAAGCACCCATCCATCCAGGTTGCCAGTGTAGGACTGACAGGAGTTAGACCCGTTGCTCGCTTCAGTCCAAAATGTGACTTAATTCATGTAAACAAAATCAAACATCAGAATTGCTGCAGCAGATTGATTGCTGCTCAGACAGTGGCCTTATTAGACTTTATCAGCAAACTTCAGAAATGGATGTGATGAATTTCCTAGTGTTTTGGAACATTGTAAACCATAAATGGCTTGTGATCATCAATCTCTCAGGTGACTGCAGGTTTCCAGACCACCAACATGCTGACAGCGCTGCCCAGCTCTTTCCTGGAGCCGCTGCTGTCCTTCTCCCTAACAGAGGATCCAGAGGTTCGGCTGCTGGTGCTCCAAATCCTTCTCAGTCTCATCGACAGGCACGAAAACACGCCCAAGTTCTCAAACATAAGGTATGTCTGCAGGTTTGCATGTATATTGCGGGGCCTAATTTGTAGCATGTTGGAGCTTGGCTGTATTACAGTGACAGCTTGGGTTAATCATTGTGCCTTCTTTCTTTCCAGCATCATCTCTGACATCTCTGTGCTTAAGCTCAAAGTCGATAAGTGTTCCAGACAGGACAACTTATTCATGAAAAAGGTTAGGTTTCTTTGAACACAGAAATATTTGCACTTGTGATAAACCTGCAGAAAAACTAGAGCGCTTGAACTCTAGTACCGTTGTCGTCTTGCCTTTCTTCTGACTCATCATTCTCCTTGTGCATCCTACTCACAGCATAGCCAGCAGCTGTACCGACACATCTATCTGGGCTGTAAGGAGCAGAGCAGCGGTCGGCAGCACTACGAGACCCTCTTCGCTCTGTTGGGTCTTCTCAGTGTGGAGCTGGCCAACGAAGAAGTGGTGGTGGACCTCATTCGCCTGGCACTCGCCTTGCAGGTAATGATGTGTTATATTTACTTGTTTATTTATTTTGCTAGGAAATAATTGTACCATTTCCTCTTACTTTTCCCAGATACAGTTATCTGCCAACACAAAAACAGGAGACAAAACCGGAAATGTCTTCTTTTTTTTTTTAAGACGAGTGCTTAAACTACCAATAAATAAAACGCAAGATAAAGAAGTGTGCACAGTCCATGATTCATAAAACCAAGTCTAAAGTCTATATCAGAGTGCATTTGAAGGAATGATGGTGAATTTGAGTGATTGAGCTCCTCAGGCCGGGTGTTTTCCAGTCCAAGGGTCCTTGCTGATGTCTCTTTGTTTCCTGCGCAGGACTTGGCTCTGTCCACAGATGAGGCTCTACCTGTTTATAACCGCTGTGCTGTTCATGCCCTCGCCGCCGCCTACCTCAACCTCATCTGCCAGCTCACCACCGTCCCAGCCTTCTGCCAGCACATACACGAGGTCTGGACCTTGGGTGCTTTGTGTATGCGTCTGTGTCTGAATACCAATACCCTCTTTTAATAAACTGCCCTTTTTTCCCTTCTGCCCTTCAGGTAATTGAGGTGAGACAGAAAGAAAGTCCCCACCTTTTGCCCGAGGATGTTTTCATTGATAATCCCAAGTATGTACCAGCCACATTAAATCCTTCTTCCTCTCAAACCATACCAACATTAAATTTGATATTTAAATATGCAATAATAGCAGTAAATGTTTCCAGTTTATTATATAAAACAAACTCTACACTCCTTTCTTCATAGGCTGCCCTCTTCACTGGAGAAGGTAGAAGGAAATGTTTTGTTCCTCCAGTCAAAGATCACCGAGGTGCTTGGAGGCAGTGGATATAACACAGAGAGACTTGCTACGCCTTATGTCCCCCAGTATACTGGTAAGGAGCTCAATCAATACATCTCAAGTGGAAGAATTTTTTAAATGAGTAGCATGCTCCTCTCTCCAAGTAAATAATGATAAATAAAATTGTTTATGTACTTGGCAGCATGTTACAGCTTTTTCTGGGTGCTTTATTGGTTCCTTTTATGGAAATTCAGAACTACTCCCCTAGAGCTAGCAGGGATTTATTGTGTCGTTGAAAGACACTTCATCAGGGCAGAACCTTTTCCTGCTCTGGGGCTTGAGCCAGGATCATTGAGTTGAAGGGCTTTGGCAGCCTTTTTGGTGCCATTTCACTTGTCTGACCATCAAAGTATCTCCGTGTTTCTATTTGGGTTTACTCAATTTTTACATAAATGTATCGCTCTCTTTCCAGATGAGGATCGTCTCTCCAAGAGAAAGAGTATTGGGGAGACAATCTCACTGCAGGTGGAGGTGGAGTCCCGCAACAGTCCAGAGAAAGAGGAGGTAAAGGCAAAAAACAGTTTTTCATGGTCTAGAACTCAAATATACCCACTGTAAGGAAACATTTAGCATTTCTGATTAGATATATATATATTAGATATATTCACATCTCAAGATATTTGTCTTTACTGCATCATGTTCCTTTTTTCTTCTGTTTCTGTTCTACAGAGGACACCAGCAGAGGAGATCACATTTGAAACCCTGAAAAATGCCATTGGTATGTCCACTCACTTTAAAGTAATTGACCGCATTATCGCAACACTTCTGTGCTTGTAAAACTGTCATTTGATGTGTATTTGAGGACCTCCAATTTGGTTGAAAAAAAGAGAAAATATCCTCATATTAGTTTAAGTAACCTTTTTTGAAATGACATTAACATTGGAAATAAACTGCCAAAGCATTGCTGCAGTAAGTTCATCAGTTGTTGAGATTTCTATTACTACTTTAAGAAGAATCGCTCAAGGACTAATGCCTCATTGTTGCTCTTATCCTTCAATATAGTAATATTATTATTAACATAATGCATTACTAAAATTGAATCATTGTATGTGTCTCCCTCTAGTGGACAGTGTGGGTATGGAGGAGCAGGAGAGGGAGCGGAGGAGACAAGTGGTGGAGAAGTTTCAGAAGGCCCCGTTCGAGGAGATAGCTGCCCACTGTGGCGCCAGGGTACATCAAAAACATTTTACTTCTATCCATATTGTTTTTCTGGCAGATTTGTTTCTTGTTTCAGCTTTGTACTATTGTCTTACATGCTATTTTGTGCCCCTTCTAGGCCACACTACTGCAGAGCAAACTAAATCAGATATTTGAGATTACAATCCGGTAAGAGACGGTGCATTACGGTGATACTAACTAATTGGATGATGAAGATGATGATGGATCTGACCCATGATGATTATGACCTGTTTCTTCTTTCCATTTAGACCCCCGCCCAGCCCTTCTGGAACCATTTCGTCGGGTTATGGCCAAAGCCAGAGTCGATCCGTACCCATCTATGAGATGAAGTTTCCTGACCTCTGTGTGTACTAGTTCAGGTTACAGAACTAAGAGAAACCCACAGTTGTTTGAAGCCAACTAAAGAAGTCTCACTTCTTGATAAACTTAGCTGTCTGACATGACAATTCTTTTACCCTGTGATGTCAGCCAAAGCAAGTGGGCTACTGTCAGTAAAACAAACATTTAATTTCTCCTTAGATGTCTGTTGAAACTCCACTGGTTGGAATTTCAAATTACAAATTGCTAAGAACTGCGAGGACAAATTCAGTGACAGACTGAAAGTTATTTAATTGGATTTAGAATGAATTGACTCGTTGCATGTCCTGTAACTGGACATACTTGATGCAGTTCTTAGACATTCTTTTGACCTGTTTGTCCCCCACGGGGTGCCATACTACCCTTGATCACAAAATTTAATTGACTGATCTTGCTAATTTCCCATGTGATTTTATATTTTTTTATTTGTTTTATTGTTTGTTGATTTTATGGCCAGGAAGAGCGAATGTGAATTATATGCATTTTAATTTACTTGACAGTGTATTTTTGTGTTATGTTTGATTGAAATATGGAGATATGTATACAAAGCCATTCATTCCCATCACCCATGTTACTCAGCTCTTGAACATCTCATCTTCTGTGTTTTAATGATTTACCTTTTTTTTCTTTTTGGTGTTAGCCAAAAGTGTGTTTTCAGTCATGATGGGCATTTATTTACTACACCTAGTTTTTTTTCTCAATTATAATTTCGATTTTAGCCGTGGTTTAAATGAAAGATAACTTGTCGATCTGTTTGCTATCCTTCCAAAGTGAGTGTGCCTTAAAGGCGACTCAAGATTAAACATACACAATAACACTAAACTTCTGAAGATCTGAAGTGTTTAGCATAATGTTTACCAGATCAAACACTAGAATATAATGAAGGATCTTTTATTTTTCTCCTTTCCATATAAATGTGTATATACAGAGAAATATATAAATCTTTAAGCAGATGTATAAAGTAGGGGTGTTTTTGTTTGTGTGTGTATATATACAATGTATATTAATTAAAATTTTAGACTGCCACTGCACTGACTGTGTCCATAGATAAGGGAGAATGCTACTTAGTTAGTATTCAGATTAATTTGTTAGAATTGTGCTGTCAAATAAGTAACAAGCAACACATGAAATCAAAAAGGTGTATTGACAATGTCTGAACTGTCCACAGTAGAAATCAGCATCATCTCGAGGCCAGTAAATCACACTAGTGAAGTCTGAATGTGTCCTGCTAAAGACTTAATGAGCCCATCTGATGAATAGGTTTGAGAAATTACTTTCAACTTCATTTCTAGCCACAGATTTTAGCACCACAGTCATGACCTGCATTGTTGACATTTCACCCTCACTCCTGCTGGAATGAGTTTGCACTCTGTTTTTACACCATGCTGCTGCTGCTGCAGCCTCCAAGCAGCGTATTGGTCTCATTCAGCAAGATTGAAAGAAGTCTAAAAGCCATTTTGTGTGCATGTGTGCACATATATACAAACACACACACACACACAGGTATAAGTATAATGGCAATAATTTGGCACTAGCCTCGCTAACACGGCCCAACCGTTGGTAGCACATCCTTTTTGTGTGTTTTTAAATTGTACCTTCTGTTGGTGTGGTGCTGTGATTGCTTAGTTTTGTGACGTGAGAGTTGCTGCGCTTCTGTGAATTTAACTGCATCGGGCGTGAAACGTGTTGCAGCCACCATCTTGTTTAATGTAAAGGACAGTGTCCGGTTTATCCCTGATTGTCATGTGTTACAGCCCAGTTGGTTGCTTTATATTGTATGTATATTTATGTCCACACATGCCAGTGTATCATCATGTTTGTTCATGTTTACCCTTTTTGTCTGTGCAGGTGCGTGAGTGTATTCATTCATGTGTCTATATGAACATTCATGCAGATGTGTGTGTGTCTTTATCGTCATTTACCAAGACCAATCTCTTCAAACAGTTTACAGATTTTGTGCAGTGACTCTTTCCACCACGTTTATAAAGAGCTATCTAAGAGCAATGTGCAGCTGTCGAAAACTTCCAGTGACACCTTATAAAATTGTCTTTTCAGCATCTTGCAACTTTGCGGTGAAGACCTGTAAAACTACCAGTGTGCTTGTTGTCATTGCATCGTGTAATATTAACTGACGGTAATCCAATCTTACTTTTGTCATTACATGTCTGATTTAATAGATCTGTTTACAATGTAGTGCTGTAGGTCAAATCTATTCATTCTGTGAACTTTGCACTTTACAAACTGGATTACCTAGTGACAAAGGCAGCTTTTACATGGAGAAAATGCCTTATGAGTGTCATACCGGACTTTGCATGCTAGTGATGTTGTATTGTACAATAAATTTGTCAGTAACCATAAAAGGTCTGATCTGTTTCTGATTTTATTTTGTTATTGGTGAGAGTGAAATCCTGATGAATGTTGTTTTGTTATATAATCTGCCTGAGAGACAGGGTGCTGGTCATCATTGGAGGGCATCAAACACAGATGACTCGTGCTCTGCCACTTTCTGTGTGTTGTTCTGTTTTGTTTCTGTTACACTACATGCATCTGCTTGTGTAGTATTTCTGCCATTCCCATCCATCCATCGTCAACCACTTATCCTGCGTACAGGGTCATGGGGTCTGCCATTCCCATTCCTGTCAAATGATTGGATGGTTTTGGATGTGTATTTTAGCAGTGTCTTTATCTTTTACTGTTACAGCCTTCCACAGATATAGTATCCAAAGACAACGGACACGTTGGCCAACAAACATCACTTCAAATGTCAAATTACATCATTTTGATCTTCATGATAAATTCGGTGGTATTGAAATGAACTAAATATCCTAAAAACTGACAATCCGTTGGAAAAGAATGGTTTAACTAAAGCCAACAACTTAGTGGGGGGGAAAATTTATCCAAGATTTTATGTTTACATCCAAAACCAATGATAACCCTTTGCTGTCCTTTACCTGTTTATGACTAGTGATGTTAAGCAAAATGTTAGCTTGATAATACGCTGAACAAAGATAGTGGACATGGTAAACATTGGCCCAATCTCCATCTCCACCATAAAGCCTAAACCCTGAACCCTCACAGACTTGGTACTTGTGTTGTCATGTCATCTGGTAAGCGATGGAGTCCAAGGGCCTAAAAATGATAATGAGACAGCACTTTGCCACATATCACTTTAACTTGATGCCAGAACATATTACCTACAAATGTGGGTTAAGGACTTTTTATTTGTTTTTTAAATAATCAATTTACTAATTTCTATCAAAACAGCATCATACATGTACATAACCCTGTGCTTAACGTCTCAACGCTGTGAAATGTGGGTCATTTCCTCATGCAAAGTCTGCTGAGATGTGAACTTAGGGAATGTGTGCATAAAGGGCGCAAAATGTTCTGCGAGAGAGCCGTTGTGCACTTGTCTATTTAAAGGAGACCTATTATACTGCATTTCCAACCCTATATTGTAGTTCTGTGACTCCTCTATGGTAGCTTTGCATGATCAATCTTATCTTATACTGGCACTTCATGCAGGCCCTCAATTCAACATCTGTCTGTCTGAAACAAGCTGTAGATGCTGCTGTCTTCTCTGCCTGGAAGCCGTTAGTAAAAAAAACAGTTTAAACAGAGCATTCAGAACAGGGGGATATCTGAGGTTTTGGCTCACAGGGATTTCTTGTAAATACTTTTACCTCATTATTTGAAGCTTTGGTCATGTTTAACATGAACATCTGTAACATTGTAGATATGCCATATAGGCCGACACACAATTGAACCCTCAGCACTGCCCTTGTTGTTAAATAAAAAGATGGTCGTTTTAGAGTGACAATGTATGTTACTAGTGTTCCAGCTTGGTAATCTGCAAAAGTCAGTAAATATTGAATATTTCCAAATGTTTTTTTTTACAATTGGTGCGTTGTTAACATTTTCCTGCTCAGAGAAGATGACTTTCAGAGATTGTTTTCTGTAACCATTTACCTAATACCTTACCTTATGGGCGGGTTGGCTGTTAATGGGAAGGTCGGCGGTTCAATCCCTGGCTCCCCCTGGTTGCGTGTCGAAGTGTCCTTGGGCAAGATACTGAACCCCGATTTGCCCCTGGCGGCTGTTCCGCCAGTGTATGAATGAGTGTGAATGCTAGTTTCCGTTTGAGCACTTGTGTATGCTCAGTGTATGAATGTGTATGACTGGTGAATGCAGATGTAGTGTAAATGCGCTTTGAGTGGTCGAAAAGACTAGAAAGGCGCTACGGAGCATTTACATTTACATTTAATAACATTGGTGACATATGTTGACATCATTTTAGGCTACATAGCCTGCAGAACAGGTAACTTGGCTAAATGACAGTATGTATTATTCAATACACTCCAAGTCCATGAGTGTGGAGATTGGGATTCAGCCATTGAACCTGCTGAACACATACATTCTAGTGTTGTCATTTTGAGCACACTAACATGTAATGACAATAGATGGTGTGACAAGGTTTCTGAAGGTGTTGTCATAATAAATATGTACATTTATTTATTTATTTTTTTACTGTTCTTTTAGGTCTAGGGCTATGCCCCCCCCCCTTATATTAGGCTTAGATATGTTGATTTGACAACTCATCAAGTCACTCACATCAAGGGCTGCTTTCCAGGCATATTTTCAAGCTGAGAAATACTACCACAAATCTAATATCACATTTGTTACAGTGTAATTATTACAGTCTCATCTTCAACATAATATTTAGTTTACTCCCTGTATACTGTATAAGCCATAAGTCATTATCCTTCTTCATCTGTCACCAGTAATATTGTACTGTACTTCTGTCATTTTGTTTTTCAATCAGTTCTTTACACACTGTCCATTTAATAGAAAATGTTTATTTCTGGAGCTTTCAGCTGCATCCCGTGGCCTTCATCAGGTGGCTGGCGTCACTGATAATAATCCTTATAGTTCATGTTGTCTGTGTTAATCAAATGAAATCAGTCCATTATCATTATTGTTTGCCACAAACAGAATGTTTAATCTTTAATATATTAATTTACAAAAAGATCTCTCTGTAAATAAACTGGATAGATTATTAAATACTTTACATTCACACCCACCTCTTGCCCTGGAATGACATTCTCGGTTTACTTCCTTTTACAAAACATGTGGAGCAATAATGACGTTTCCTAAAAGAAAAAAAATATCCTTAGAAAGCTTTCCAGTAGACCAAGAAGGTCAAGGCAGTCTTTGGGTTTGTTGTTTTTATTCAACAGAAAACTGCCTTGCTTCTTATCTTTAGTTAAGATTTTATTGAGACAAACATTTGGCCCAGAAAAGACATTCAACCACATGCTAATAATAGTGATAAGTTAAAATTAAGACCTGTTGGTACTAACATGCAATAGCTATTTGACTCTCTCAGCTACCTTGCCCTCCCCTTCTTCTCCATCCTCCATTCAGCCCATTATCCTTGCACATCCGTGACTATAATGTTCCTGAGGAGCCTAGCCAGCTGCCTCTGAGATTTCTTCTCCCACGACTTCATAAAGCTGCCATTACGTTTAGACACAGTTGGGCTCCCCCATCTGAAGTGACTCATCTTATAGGTCCCATCTTTTCTCTGCTGTGGGCTCAGAGGGACATGTGACTTAGAGATGACCCTTGTCAGCCCTCCATTCAGGTCCACCTTTGCTTCATCTTCCTTACTGCTCAGCTGTCTGCGACCCCGAGGGAGTACACTGCCCTCGGAAGAGCCCCCTCCCTCCAGAGAAGAGGCAAAAACTTTTATAGGCCGGCGTTTACGGCCTGAGGGCTTGCCCCAGCGGAAATGCTCCATTGAATAGGAGCGTCGCTGGTCGCTGTGGGCTTTCAGATCTGATGTTGATATTTTGCCTTCAGAGACCAGGGTGGCTGGAAGGATCCTGAGTAAGAGGTCATCCTTATCATTAACCTTCAGGGCCAATGAGCTAAGCTCTGGGAATTCAGTCTGGATCACAGACATGCAGAGCTGAATACAGTCCTGTGTGGAAGGAAACACCAGCAAACATTTTAAAACGCATTGTTATCTGTGAATCATTTGCACGTTGATGATAATATACATATCAGCAATATTATTTTATTAATACTGTGATACTGATTTATTGCAGCGGATGCTCTCATCAGCTTAAACTATGCTAAACAAAAAAGCTTCTGATTATCATTATGCTGATGACAATCAGATTTATATATCTGAATCACCACGAGTTTGGTGTCACAGAGTCCCTGAATACGTACAATGTGCATCTCTCACTTGTACTGTACAGAAGAAAAAGATGGCAAAAAATGGAGAGGACGCTTTCACCTACCAGTATCCTTCCCTTGTTGCTCAGGTTGTTGCAGAAGGAGCTGTCCCAGCACACCGACCCGAACCCGGGGACACACACGTATGCCATCACCACCACTAACAGCCAACATAGACACACCATCTTCAGCCAGGTGTGGAGGACAGAAACACAAGTGATGCTATAAGCTGAAAAGAAAGTAAAGCCACATCAGGGGAACTCTCTTCAAAATGCTGAAAAGGCTTTAATAACACACCAGTCGCGACAGGCTCAAAAATTCACTTAGTCATGCCTACATAGGAAAATATTGCCACTTATGTGAAGAAATACAGTAGGTGTCTCCTGATCATTGCACTTGCATAACACTTCCTTATATAACTTGAGATAGTTGGTGGGTTTATGTTGTGTGTCATGGTTGAATAATAGCTGTGAGCTCAAATACCATTAATCAACACTCATTGTAACAGATGGTCTTGTTTATCAGCAGCAAATGAATCTTATTCAAAAGTGCTTAATAATGAAAATGCTGGAAAATGTGACGGTGGATCTTTATCTTACGTGATTTAGTGTCATAAAAATAGTTTTACTATTATTTACTGTATATAAAATGCCCATAGACAAAGGACAACGGTGATGTCTCTGTACTTGGACTTTATTTTACACCTCACAATTAACTTTTAGGTAGTAGAACCATAATGTCAGTTTTGAGAAACAGCAGACGTGGATTGTAATGTTGTTAAAAAGCTCTCTTTCTTTCTAAAGGAGCATGCCAATTCCTCAATAGCCAACATAAGAAAACTATGATAAAGTTAAATGTATCATCAACGTATTAACTATTTATGCTCAGCATTTTTTCCTGCAATAGCCACTCAGTGACTGTGGCATGAAGAGAAAAAGCAGATTATTGATCGGCTTATTAAAACAACGTGGGTTTGTTGGGTTGATACACCAGTTGCTCTTGTATTTATGAGAAAGTAGCAGCTCAAAGAGTTTTTTCTGTAGTATTAAACCTCACTTGCTGTTACCAGGGCAACCACAGGAGTTGACAAATCAACAAAAATCTCAAGGATTATGACTTTACCCAATAATATGCAAATTCAGCACAACCCAACCCGTTCTACGAATGGATGTTGCTGAAATATTACAGTGCTGAAAAGTCTCACACTGATTGAAGGTCAGTCGTAAAACTTGCAATTCATAATTCCACTCAAAATTTGCAATTTGGCCTTAGCAGGATATTTCTCTATTAACATATCAAACCTGTCATTGGGCTGAGTTATGATTAGGGCACTGACCAATTAATCTTCACTCGGTTAAATATGACACCCTGCTGGCCATCTGACTAGTCATTTCACAGATATTAACATTTTTAAGCTCCCTCGGAAAGTCTAACAGGGGATGGGTTCATTTTCTTTGCTTTGTTGTGAAATTGCAATTTGTTTCTCACTCCCTTCTCAATAATTCTGAGGAGTGACTCCTTGGTGGGCCATTGTCTTTGTAACTCTGGCAGAGACTCGTCTTCACTCTTCCTACAGAATGACTCATTAGCTGAGCTCTGCTCTCCACAGACATAAAGGAAGCCTGAGAGCTGCAATCAAAAAAGATCGAAACCTTATTTGTTAATGATATATGGAGTCATTGAAACGTCTATAAGCTTGATTAGTAGTGTTTGTAAAGGTATATGTTAATGGGGAGCAGCAATTCAGATGTCGCCTAAGACAACTAATATTCTTCAAATTGCTGAGGTCTAACTATACAATATAAATCCAATATGACTGATAATTTACAGAACAAATGCAGCTGTACATGTCAGAATATCCAAGGTCATTTTGTCAGTGACTGTGCAAAGTAACAAAGTAGTGCTCATCCAGTGGGAAAAACAAGAAGCTAACAACGATCAGACACAATGTTGATCCATGCCAAAACAAGAAACCACAAACAAGTTGAGAGCAATTTTTTTTACCTTTTCCAAATTCTTTCTTTTCCTCTCTTCTTGCTTTACTCCCTCCGTTTGTCCACAGATCTTCCAGAGTGACGACTCTTATCTGTGATCCCTCTCCTCCTCTTCTGCTCTCTCTCTGCTCTGTGATGAAATGCTCAGTAGGAGAGGGTCTGCTGGTTCTTCTTTAGCGGAGGAAAGCTCTTTTTATAGACGCGTAAGGTATGGAGCTTGGAGTCTCAAGGCCTCAGGGTGTGATTGAGGTAAAGGGTCTCCTGCTCCTTTCTGAATGGGGAGTGTGAGTTTGTGTATGTGGCTGGTATAAAGACCACCCACGCACTTTTAATCAATGGTGCAGCTCACGTCACCGGACAACAGGTGAAGCATTAGGAAAGTAGTTGTTAACTTGCTGCCCTCCTCTTCCTCTTGGGGTTGCATTCTCAAGAGCCTTTAAGCCTTGATTATTCGGATGTTTGACTGCTGTCAAGTATATTTTTTGAGTGCTTGCTTACAATATCATACACTGATAAAAGCAACTGCAGCTCATCACTGGACCCCTGTCAATCCTGGTTCCAAATCCCCCAAAGGTCAGTCCTAATCACTGAGATCAGCATCCTTTAGCCGGAGTGAAGTGTGCAAAATCAATTGGACTGATTGGATCGTTTTTCGCCAGTTCTCGTTTACAAGGTGTGCATGTATCCCTGTGTGGAAACTTCATTAGGAAGGCCTGACTCACTGGTTGCACGTCATGGCTACACCTTGAATGGAGAAGATACACACACACACACACACACACACACACACACACACACACACACACACACACACACACACACACACACAAAAGTACTTTAAAAAAGGAAGGTCTGTGCTGTTGAAAAGAAAATCACTTTGCATTCATCTGTTAAATGCCAGTACCATACACATTCAGCTTCCTGTTTGCTACAGATTTTTTATGGAGTAATATACAAGGATGAGCCACACAGAGTATGCATAACAAAGTCTAAAAAAAAAGTGTTTTGTTAATTTCTACCACTTTTCTAAGACTGTAAATTTCATGTCATTTTGCAGTGTCCTCAAAACATGTTCATTCATCCTTCCTTCACTGTGTCTTTAAAAGGAAAAAGTCGCTAAATAATTAAAGACTCATAATTACAATACATACAATTGAAGAAAGTAAATACTGAGACGGTAATTATTTGCCAATAAAACATTGACATTGCAGCAGGTACCTGCTACCCGCAAACTAGTTAACCAGTACAGCGCAATCAAGTTTTTTTTTTTTATTAAAATGTGTGAATAAATATAGAAAATATTAATCATGCTAATTATTTTAAATGAAATGATTGCGATCTGTTGTAACTTAAACATAGTATGTTATAATCCTTTTCTAATTTAATTGAAGACAGTTTTGTCCCTTCTGCCATAGCACTCCTAAATTAAACAATATGCAAATATATATACACATTAAATAGACATGTACATGTGTACATTAATGTATATGTGCAGATAATGGAAATAACTTCCCCCTTGGACAATAAAGACCGTTACTCCAAATGACATGCAAAATGTGTATATATTGATTAAGAAGACTAATTACTAACATACAAGGAAAAATGAATAATGTCAAAACATCAAGCAATACTGAAAGTGTTCTCAGAAAGGGAATGACTTACTATCTTGAAATGAATGACACTTTATGTTTAAGAAATACTTTGTTGTTGAAAAAGCTGTGAGGCCCTTTTAAGTCAAATGTCAAATCCTGGAAGGATAGAAAAAGGATAAGTGAACCACGAGATACCTAAAAGGGGTCTAAAAGGTGTTCAATTTGAAATGAAAACAAGGTTAAGTTAGAAAATAATAAATGCGGAGGGCGTATAATTCACATTTCCTCGGACTATAAAACTTTTCTTTGACAGTGCAGATCTGCACCAAAAAACCAGCCAAGCAGCAGACACAGCAAATCTTGAAGAGTTGTTAAGTTGGGTGAAGTTGACGAGACACTTTGTTCACAACATTCCATCCGTTATATGTATCGTAACTTGAACGTCATGTCTTTTCATCTCTAACAAAAAACAAACTGACCGTTTCCCAGGCGTCAGTGCATATTGTTGCATTAATGAGAACAAAGGTTGTTTTCTAAAGTGGCTTTGGGGCAAAGATGAACAGAATACTGAATTTAGTAAACAAACCAAAAAATATGTAGGAATTGTGGATTCTTTATTTGATAATTAATAACAGTAAAAACATGAAAAAGACATATGGAGACATTATATATTCTATTTAACAATATATTAAACACTTTAAATATCCCTTTAAAAGTGAGATCTTGAAAATTGTTTCTCCCTAGTCGACCCCTTTCATTGACCTCATGTTGCACAAGCAAGCATAAATAAAACCTGCGACCCATCACACACTTTTGAAAGGCGCTGCTCCTCTGGCCTTCCTATAAAAATAAGAAACTGCCCTTCGTTACCCAACTGACATTTTGATTTACACTTCACAATGGTCTCTCTCTGTGTGATTTCTCAATCCATCTTCAGTTCACCGATGGATTATTTAAGTTTTGTGATGTCTGATTGGAAATTTGTTTTCTCTGGCATTTCCTTATGTTCTGTTTTCATGAAATGTATAGATTTAAAAACAGTTTAATGCCCCTCCTTTTGTTTTTTACAACCACAATCTAATATTACCTCCATGTGGAACTTTTTTTGTGCAGGACCTTGCAGTAATGACATCTAGATTTTCTGAATATCATCTGCACACATTTTAAATGGTGCAAAAAGGGGCTGTTGTAACTTTACATTAAGAAACATTAACTAATATGCAGATAGGATTAAAATAAGTCAGCATAAGAAACAGAAAACAGGCAAAAAGCTTTGGTTGCTAAAGGGCTGCTACTCCAATATACAAATTGCATTTGTTACATAACAAATAGCATCATTGTGCTGCAGGACTTAGCAAGGCTGTTTGATTTGCAGCTTTGACAATTGTAAAAGAAAATGTAACTTTTATGTGTTAGTAATTAGATTTAATATTATTTAGATCTGAAAGTGGAGAGTCTGAAGAGGGAGTAATTCAGCAGCAAGTGCCACAGCTTCTATCGATTTAACTCTTAATCTCCATGTGGCCTTTCTCTGCATGTTGGTTCTGGTCAGCTGCTGCTTGTGAAATCGAGTCATTACTGGACAAAAATGCTAAAACAAAAAGAGCATGCTTGCTAAGCCACCTCTTCGATGGATAAACAAAGGTTAAAAACAAATGGAGATGATGCATTTCAACAGCACTTAGGGGTGTAATTCATCTCCCTGTTGATGTTGTAATAATAATGCAACCCCCAGACAAGGCTGTGCAGGATGTGAATCACAGCCTAATAAAGACTCTGCCATTTAACCAACTGCCATGTTTACAAGTAGTATCATCTCATCAACCTGCAGAGGTTTTAGTGACTATGCAGGCAGAAGACTGATATTTTCAGATCTCACTTCTGCAGATGCAGTTGGAAACGACATACAGCCTGTTTTCTGCACTAAGTGGTATATTGTGGTAATATTGAGACAGCATTTGTCTTAATATGCAATGTTCAAATACATGAAATGTTTTTTCACACACATCATTATGACCTCAAACTGCGAGGAGGACATGAGGATATATACACTCACCTAAAGGATTATTAGGAACACCATACTAATACTGTGTTTGACCCCCTTTCGCCTTCAGAACTGCCTTAATTCTACGTGGCATTGATTCAACAAGGTGCTGAAAGCATTCTTTAGAAATGTTGGCCCATATTGATAGGATAGCATCTTGCAGTTGATGGAGATTTGTGGGATGCACATCCAGGGCACGAAGCTCCCGTTCCACCACATCCCATCTATTGGGTTGAGATCTGGTGACTGTGGGGGCCATTTTAGTACAGTGAACTCATTGTCATGTTCAAGAAACCAATTTGAAATGATTCGAGCTTTGTGACATGGTGCATTATCCTGCTGGAAGTAGCCATCAGAGGATGGGTACATGGTGGCCATAAAGGGATGGACATGGTCAGAAACAATGCTCAGGTAGGCCGTGGCATTTAAATGATGCCCAATTGGCACCAAGGGGCCTAAAGTGTGCCAAGAAAACATCCCCCACACCATTACACCACCACCAGCAGCCTGCACAGTGGTAACAAGGCATGATGGATCCATGTTCTCATTCTGTTTACGCCAAATTCTGACTCTACCATCTGAATGTCTCAACAGAAATCGAGACTCATCAGACCAGGCAACATTTTTCCAGTCTTCAACTGTCCAATTTTGGTGAGCTCTTGCAAATTGTAGCCTCTTTTTCCTATTTGTAGTGGAGATGAGTGGTACCCGGTGGGGTCTTCTGCTGTTGTAGCCCATCCGCCTCAAGGTTGTGCGTGTTGTGGCTTCACAAATGCTTTGCTGCATACCTCGGTTGTAACAAGTGGTTATTTCAGTCAAAGTTGCTCTTCTATCAGCTTGAATCAGTCCCATTCTCCTCTGACCTCTAGCATCAACAAGGCATTTTCGCCCACAGGACTGCCGCATACTGGATGTTTTTCCCTTTTCACACCATTCTTTGTAAACCCTAGAAATGGTTGTGCGTGAAAATCCCAGTAACTGAGCAGATTGTGAAATACTCAGACCGGCCCGTCTGGCACCAACAACCATGCCACGCTCAAAATTGCTTAAATCACCTTTCTTTCCCATTCTGACATTAAGTTTGGAATTCAGGAGATTGTCTTGACCAGGACCACACCCCTAAATGCATTGAAGCAACTGCCATGTGATTGGTTGATTAGATAATTGCATTAATGAGAAATTGAACAGGTGTTCCTAATAATCCTTTAGGTGGGTGTATGTTAACTTCAATATGGTGTTTGCTCAAAAACAGTAGTACGCCGGGTCTGCGTGACGCTATTTGTCTGACACTCACATGAACAGTGCCTGATACAAAGACCACTCTCAGCGATGAAAGGCGGCTCAGCGTATAATCATGTGAGCAACCTCTAAACTGCAGCTGCTATCACATCACTTAAGAATAAGCCAAATGCCTCAATTAACTGTGCTAGAATCCCACAATGATAAACTTCATGTTCTGATAAAATTTGGACAGATAGAGACAGCGGAGGAGAAAGTATTCAGATCATTTACTTAAGTAAAAGTACTACACTGTAAAATATCATGCATCAAAAATGTTA